ATCTTCCCTATGGTAGAATCCTAGAGGAAGTAAGCATCATGTTTCTTCCTACCCACGCATTCTGTCAAGTGGATCCTCTTCGGAGCACAAAGAAAGAAAAAGAACTAAAGGTCCTTCGTACGTGACGTAGAGTATCTTCGCACGTATCTTCCCTATGGTAGAATCCTAGAGGAAGTAAGCATCATGTTTCTTCCTACCCACGCATTCTGTCAAGTGGATCCTCTTCGGAGCACAAAGAAAATCAGACAAATAATTGGCTCCTCGGGTGCACAGGTAGGCAGGCGCAGCCAGCTAGCCCTGTTGGTTCGTTTCATTCTTGAGAACCTTGCGCAAGGACTATTGTGTGGAAGGACACTCGATACATTCGACACTCGAGAAGGAGGTGGAGGAGAAAGAAAAAAATATCTTTTTTTCTGTCAACGTATATCCAAACAATTTTCTAACAGTTTTATGGTGTTTTATTATTGTATCGAAAATACTATTTTTATCATGAGATATAATGATTATTATTTGGAACAATTGTAATTAATCCTTTCGTTACTACGGACCACTATAGTGGCCCTATTTTACATACGACGAACATCCCACAAACTGGACATGTAATTTTCATCAACAACAAAATTACCTAAAAATAAAATGCAATTTCGATGCTGCACGTATTAGCAGCCCGTACAGTAGAAATAGCACCATGGAAAATACGCCCGTAGCGAAACGGTTAAAATACTTGGACGTGTAAGGCGTGTATCTTTATCAAGGTCGCGTGTTAGTAATACTTTTTCTCAAATTTAATACGAGAAAAAGAGAGAGAGAGAGAGAGATGAACAAAGTAAAAAGAAAAAAGAACAGATTTCTGGTTACATTAATAAATATACTCGGCCTTTCACTTCGGTGTCTACGGATTTAATTACTTTTTTTTAGGTCGAATCGTAAATCATACCGACGGGAGTGTGCGTTCTTCCTGCCGAGTCATAAAATAAAGAGTTCAAGCTAAAACCTAGAAGGAGGGAACAACTTGAACACGTGTCGTCGAGTTGGAAAAGGATCCAATATTATATGCCTACTCGATTCGTGTCGAGAAAAGGAGAATGATGAGAGGAGGAGTAGGAGAAGAAGAAAAAAAAGAGAGAGAGAGAGAGAAAGAAGTCTTTAAGAATTACCGACCCTGTCAAAACAGGTTGGATTATCCTGGATGATCTTGGATTTAGATTGGTATTTATACAATAATGGTCCTTTATACCAGCTTTTTGCTAAATTTTTCGAAAGCAATTATTAACAATATTTAAAGAAATAATTGTTCAGAGTACGATCAGACAAAATAGTTTCATTATTTTATTTTTCAGGTATAATAATAATACTTTGATCGTGAAACGTCGAAGAAGTTTTTCAAAATTGAAAAGAAAATGTAAGAAAAGAACTTGAGATTATATCTACATCTATAGAAGAGAATATTGTGGTAGATTTGAAGGTATCAGAGATGAGATTGGTTTAAAAGAGATGATGAGAAGAGAGTCAAAGATGGGAGTTTTTATCTTGCACTTAGATGCTTTGTTAGGTGCGACACCTTTCAAAATGGCCACTAATTTGTTCTATCGACAAGATCTCCGATCGATTTGATCCTACGCGAAGATACCGTCGAAAGGCGACGGTAGCGGTTGATCTTAAAAATTGATCATCTTTCTTCTCTACCTGCTAGTAAGATAGGATTGAGATTCCTATTCGAAAGAAGTAGAAATGATCTATCAACCTAAAGTAAAAGATCATGGAAAAAAAATCTTTTTTTTTTTGTTTTATCTTTTTTTTTTTTTTTGAAAATTGTAGCGTTCTCATTCCCTAGCTAAGGTACACCTATGAATAAAGAAATGGAACGATGGACTGACTAGTCACTTAGTTAATAATACTCCAAAGGAATAGTGTTCTGTATGTTCTGTAGATAATGGAATTGTCGGTAGTAATGTAAATACGTCAAACGAAGAGGAAGAAGAAAAAAAATGCTCTGGCCTGAGACTCACCACATGTCCATGAGCGGGTGACTTGGCGATGGATTGCAGCTGCGGATAAAGTTGACCAGCCGCGGCTGGTGTCATGTCGGTCAGCATGTCGTTAGGTCCCTCGACACTTGGACCGTAGAATTAATCGATTCTTTAATTCACCAGAACAACGTGTTGAGTTTATTTTTTCCTCTTTTGCTCTTATTTTGTTATTACAAAAAAGAAAAGATAAAGGAAAAACAAAAAAGATCGCGGTTTCTGCTGCGTTTCTCTCTCGCGTTGTTTCTTTTATAGTTGTCGTCGTCGCAAATGGTGTCAACACATAGCACACGAAATCATGATGACGAAAGAACAACGACGACGGCAGAAGCCGAAGAACGAATCAAACAGGGTTAGATTACTTCTTTACTCTGGAGTGTGATTCGGCACGGGCTGAAGGAACGGAATGCGTGTGTACCGTCGGAAAAAAAGCTTGACTGGGAGCTGGTTGAAGGAACCGGTTAACGTGGTTCCCGCTCTTCGCCCCGTGATAGACTGCCGGCCAACCGAACGGCTTTCCCCGATCAGAGCCGGGGGAATGGTGCACGTCAGAGTAGGTAGAGTAGGTTGGTGAGGTTGGGGCAAGTTGGCTGTTCCGGGGGTGCCCCGGGCGAGGACGCAGTAGGCGTTCCAAAGAAACTAGAACCCGGCTGAATGGGCGGTACTCGAGGTTAGTCGAGTCCGCGCCCATGTGCGTGAAACAAGCCCCGCCTATTACAGGCTTACCTTAAATTCGACTCGATTCAAACCCCACTCCTAAACTCTAGGGAAGCCCCTACTCCTAAACATCGGACCAACCTCTTTCCATCTCCGTTGCGCCGAGTCGA